CCAGCATGTGGGTTCCAAGGATCCAACTCAGGTCATCAGACTCAGTGGTGAGCAGCACCTTTACGGGCTGAGCCATTCTGCAGGTCCTAAAAGCAGCCTCTAACCAGCTGTTGTGTTACCAGACTGTGTGCTCATCTCATACCTCATCAGAACCTGACTCGAGGATGGTGTCTGCAGTTATTTAATAAATATTGGATGGACAGATGCTCTGCCTCATTCCTTTGTCTCCAACAGCAAGGTCAGTGCTGTGTTTTTCTGTAGAATGAATAAGAAGCCATCTTTAGAGATGGAGAGAGAACAAGCAGAGGAGAGGCTGGGGAGGAGCAGGGATAGAGGTAGAAGAAGGAGGAGGGTTGTGGGCCTGCTTTGTTAGCTCAGCTGTGTAAGGACTACCTCGGGTTGGAGCATGCTCATAGCAAAAATGCATGATCACATTGTTCTGAAGGCCGGAAGTCCATGGCTCACTTCCCTATGCTTCACCACGTCTTCCCCTGTGCTGTGTGTGTTCTCACCTCGGGATTAGGGTTCATCTAACAAGTCTGCTTAATCTCCATTATCTGTTTAATAACTTTATGTCCAAACAAGGGTCAGGACTTCCACACAGCATGTTAGGAATTTCAACAAATGATTTTTTGATGGAGGACATAATTGAGTCCGTAACGGGGTAGAAGGCAACTTCTGTGACCGTTCTAGGGGTAGCAGGTGGGCCAAGACGCTAATGAGCAGGCAGCGGGGTTTAAGTTGCACACTGTGGGTATGGGAGGGGTTGTTTCTCTTCTCTGGGATGATCTGGTCTCCTTAGGTCTTTTTAGACACGGGCAATCATTCTGGGCACATCTCTGATCTTGCCACTAGGAGGAGACAGAGCGCCTAGCAGGAGATCCATTGGCTATAGTGCAGGAAGCCCCTGTCTGTCCAGTCCTGTCTGCCACCGGCCTCAAGTGGGGACCTCAGGCTGGGAGCCAACAGATTGGTATAAAAAAGACCTGGCCTTGCAAGTCGTGGATGAAGAAGGGTCTAGTTCTTTTCTCTGTTGTAACAGCATGCCACAGTCTAGGAATTTTATAAACAAGAGAAGTTTGTTTGGCTCACAGCGCAGAAGGCTGGGAAATCTGAAGGCATGCTACTCATCTGATGAAGCCTCTGTGCTTTGTTACAACGAGCCAGAAGGGCACAGAGAGCAGGCAGTCAAGGGAGGGCTCGCTTTTCTAGCAAGTCAACTCAGCCTCAGTAACTCACTCCTGTAATTATCACCAAAATAATGGTATTAATCACCTCGTAGAGGTGCCACCCCCACCTCTTCTTTTCAAGACAGGGTCTCTGTGCAGGACTGGCTGGCTGTCTTGGAACTCACTTTGTAGATCAGGCTGGCCTCTGCCTCAAGTGTTGGGAGTAAAGCCCAGCGTGTAGCAAAGGTCCCACCCCTTAATACTGTCACAATGGTAATTAAAATCCAGCATGGACTTTACACAGGACATCCAATGCGGTCAGTGCTTTAAGCCTCTTCTGTCTGTGGAACTCAGGACCCATGCTCCATCTTAGGCTTTGGGTGCAGGGCTGTATGCTGAGCCCCACACCTGTCCCTAAGCTGCAGCTGCTAGGAGGAATGAAGCAGTGGCCATGGTTTCCGGTGCGCCCTCCTCGCTTTCTGTGAATGTGCCCCCCCCTCCCCGCCGCAAGTTGAGGAATGAGTTCTCGATAAGAGGGGGATTATCTGGTAATACTTAATGAAGGGCCTCCTAGCCCCTGCACAGCTTATCTTAAACCCTTACTGTACTGACTGAGATCAGCACCCATCAGTCCCCACTCCCCCACCCCTGCCTGGTGGTGGGGGTGGGAGGGGGCTGTTCCCGCATTGGCCATTGGCCGACTGACAGGACTTGCTGTTGTGGCAGCCTCAGGGTACAGCCCTGGTGGAGCCTCTCTGTCTGCCTCAGGAGAATCCATCTTCCTATCCTGAGCCAGGCTGTTCCTCCTTCCTGTCACCAAAGCGAATGCTATTCACAGAGTAGTCTGAAGGTCACCATGAGTATAAGGTCAAGGCTACTTTTGAATCTGTCTCCAAACCCAGCCATCCCCCCTCGTGCTTAGTGAACCCCCCTAATTTCTACATCATAGCCCTTTGGAAAATTAAAGGAACATAAAGAAATCTCTCTGACATTTCAACATTTTTCATAAATCATAATATTTTTATAAATAGCCCAGGTAAAAGCCAATGTTCTCTTTTGGTATAAACTTTATGTAGGTCACAGTTTGCTGGGACACAGACAGCTGAGTGTGACCTACAGTTTTCATACAAAAGCAGGGTTTTCTGTGACACCTGATCAAGTGTCCAGAAAACGAACAAGTGAAGGAAATCCTAGATTCATACCACAACAGGGGGCATTTATGTTAAACACAGCAGGGTAACAATGTGACTTAGAGTGGGAGCTGAAGGTGGGGGTGTCCTTGTCCCCTTGAGCTGCTGTCATCCTTACTCCAAGACTGCCATGTTCACTGGACATCATTACTCCAGGAGACCCTGAGGAGGGCCATTGAGCCGATGTGATTGGCTAAGCCCTCAACAAGAGCTCAGCAGAAGCAGCCGCTCAGACCCCACTGGCCTCTATTTTTCCTAGTGACCTCTCACAGCCGAGTTATTTAACCTCCTTGGGCCTGACGGCTTCATCTGAAAACTGATAAGAAAGCAATTCCCTGCAGGCTCCAGAAAAGCAGCTAAAGCTTTCAGGAACCTCCAGGCTTAGTGGCTTAGTTCTCCCGTGGGCTCAGGCTGACATAGCAATTGGGGGCGGGCACAGGATGGGGGACAGACACGGACAGGGGGAAAGTCCTTCCTTCCTCTTTAGATAAGTGTGTTAGGGGATATATCACTTTGTCACAAGGTCACACGAGCACCTGGTGTGTGTGTGTGTGTGTGTGTAGTGTGCATTTATGTACAAGCTCTCATGTTTGTGTATGGTTTATTTGTGTGCATGTGTGCATACATGTGTGTACATGTACAGTCTGTGTGCATGTGTGTATTCAGGTGAGGTGTGTGTGTGCATTTGTGATGTGTAGTAGGTGGGTGTGCATGTGGGTATGCATGTGTAGTGTGTATGTACATGTGTGAGTGTATATATGTATGTGTGCATATGTGTGGTATGTATATGTGCGTGTACATGTATCTATGCTATGCCTGTATGTGTGTGTAGTGTGTGTATAGTTTATGTGTAGTGTGTACATGTGTGTGGTATGTATGTATGTACATGCATGTGTGGTGTGCCTGTATGTGTGTGTAGTGTGTGTGCATGTGTGTACATGTGTGTGATCTCTGTGTGGTGTGTGTGTATGTAGTATGTATGGTATGTATGCTTGTGGGTGTGGTGTCTGTGTTTGCGGTCTTCTTGTGTAGAATGCTCCTGCAGTGGGAGATTCATTCATGATTCATAACAGTAGCAAAATTACAGTTGTGAAGTAGAAATGAAATAATTTTATGATTGGGGGTCACCACGACATGAGGAACTGCATCAAAAGGTTGCAGCATTAGAAAGATTGAGAACCACCAGTACATATGGGCATGAAAACAGGAAGTTTTTGTTCTCTGCCTGCTTGCTTTCATCTCACTGGCAAGTCCATCCTTTA